CTGCGATTACATCACATGATGTTTATATTCTGAGTACAAATCTCTACATATACACTGCACAGTGAACCTATTTTGTGTATGTTTTATTGTCTTTATGCTTATATTATTTAGGTGTACATGAAACCAAAGCTTTTTTTCCTTGATGCAGTAGAGAAGAGTTACAACTCCAGTCACAACTCCAGTCAGGTTTTTACTGCCCTTGTTTGCTGTCCTGATGTCAACATTTAACCATACAGGGAGGGAAACTCTCCAACAGCAATACAAACAGAAAAACAAGTTATTTCCTTTCTCTAGTAAGGGAAGGCTAGAACCCATGCCAGAATTTTGCCATGCCTATTGTAGATTTTCCCTCTCTTCCTGACTGTCAAAACCGTTGTCAAAAGAACAGGAAGTGAGAAGAAATCTTTCTAGGGGAAACCCAGACAGCAGTAAAAACTTAACAGGGGTTCTAGCCCTTTCCCACATTATCCAAAGCTAAGAAAAAACATACACTTTAACTTTATACATAGAACATGCATTCCATATTGATATGTAGACTATTCACACTTTCCTGCAAGAAGGAAGGAAGTTTCGTACATTTCTCTTTGTGTGGGGTAGTGGTGGAGCTTTTCTGTGCCAGCCATGACACAGCGGAGAGGGACTTGGCAGTAGGGTAGGCGCTCATATTAACCCCTTTATGCACTATGTGCTCAGGCCATCTAGATTCTTCAGAGCAGTACCTATATATGTGCCCCATGATGTCCAATTACTTCAATGGCTTGTCTGGCTGTGGGCTGCCTTTCCATTGAAGTGAAAGGAACGGTGATACAAATACAATGGTATTACTCTACAGATTTCTCAAAAAATTCTGGGTATAAGCTGTGTGGGGCCAGGTAGGTGGCACAGTGAGGAACAAGGTTGTGTGTATGCTCTATACTGAAAGTGCAAGGAGGAGGGGACAGAATCTGTTAATCATTCTAAAGATAACGTCCTGCCTACAGTATGGTATACACTGATATATTATCGTCATTCAACCTGCAGTATAAAGGAAAAAAAGTGTGGATGGACGAATCTTGTGCTGTGAGCTTTGTATTCTTGCAGTGGTACGGCCGCTGTCAGAATACCCAAAGGAACACTTGGCTGAGGAACTTCCAACCTATTCTTTCAACAACACTTGCTCTAATGGTTGACTTCCTTTGAGCTAATAGGGTCAACAACAGAGCAAATTTCAACTGATTCAGCAGGAAATTTGCTTTGTGTGTACTCATCTTAAAAAGAGTCTGCCTGCTTTTACCTTTATGAGCCAAAAAGGGCATTTATGTGTGCCCTTCTGAATCTGTTTTTATTTGTTATTTTCTTACTAAAAACTTAACTTCCCTGACTATAGGTGTAGCCATACTGCCCCTTACCCCATAGACAACCTTATGTTGAATGATCATATGTACAGCTTTTAGTTTTTAAAATGTATATTTGCTTTAAATTTCTTTGCCTGCACCCACAAATACGCATTGGGCCAGAGTGTCCAATTATTTATATTTGTGGGGTTTCTAAAGGGTGGTTTTCCACAGAAAACATACACTTAAATAGGTCAGTACACTATAAATATGGAAAGTTTGTGCTGAGTATGAGAAAAGTGATTGTTTTCATTTCAATAGTGTTTCTCTTTGAAGTACATATATGTACATTACTAAAAAATTATTTCCATTAGTCAATTTCCCGAGTCCCAGGCAGCTTTGCAAGCAATAAATTTAGCTATGAAAAACTTGGAAAATTGTATGTCATTTCCAATAGATGAAACTTACACACAGGTTACGGTGGAAATGGAAGCATGCAAATGATTTTCCTGGTAGGTACCTTGAAATTACATCCTCCTTCTATGTCATCAATATATTAATTATACTGCTAAGGAATGTGTGTCTTAGGCTGCTGAGAAAATATGTTGCATTAAAATGCACTTTTTTGCCTGCAGTATGTTTAAAACTTGCACTAAGTCTCTAGTCTAGGCCCTTTAGCATCTGAAGTATATAGATGTGCACCTAGGTGCAATGAGGGGTCCCCGTCTAAAATATATAGGTTTACTATAAATTATATAAGTAGAGAATTCTGAGAAACTTAAGATATCCGGAAGATACCCTTAACAAAACAGTAAAGGAGGTAAAGACCCATCAAAAAAGGGTAATGCCAATGTCCACCAATTTCTCAGGATAACTCATGGCTTTGTAAGATAAAAATTTATTTTATTTTATTCGATAGAAATACAATACAATCCAATTTTATCTTACATAGCTATTAGTTATTCCCAGAAATTGGTGGACATTGGCATTACCTTTTTTGAGGGGTCTTTAACTACTTTACTAGCATCTGAACTATGTTTATTACCAGGAATATCTGATTTAAGACACGCAAAGGCAAATTAAAGCTACAAATTGGTTTCAAAAGAGTCTTAAGATAATCCCCAAATTTATCAAGCAACTACCTGGTGGTAATGTACTGGTTGCACTGCTTTCCATACTTCATAGTCATGCAACTGTATGCTTACAAGATCTGAGTGTGCTGATGTTTATGAGACAGTCTATAAAAAAAAAGATCTAATAACATGATCCAGCCACAATCTGATGTCTATGATTTTAATTTGTGAAAGGACATAAAAAAATTGTATTGGCCTAACTTGAAAAAAGTTAACTCTTAAAACACAAATCCAAAGGATGCTGCCCCCCTAGAACAATGTTTCTCAACCTTTTTTAGTCACTACACCCTTCTTTGCAAAGTATGCAAAATCTTGAGGCACCCCAGTCTAAAAGGTCATAGATTTTAAGGGGGACCCCCACACAAAAAAGTGGTTTTCCCTCTTCACGTTGAAGTACCCCATTCCAATCAAGATCCCCCTTCACATCAGAGTCACCCTTTGCATCAGTATGTCCCCTTCACATCAGAAGCCTTCCTTTCACATCAGGAGCCCCATTCATATCTCTCTTCACCACACAAGCCCCCTTCACCTCATTCTTCATTCCCCCATTCACATCACAGTCCCACTACCACAACATTTTAAGGCACCTCTGAGACCAGGAGGCACACTAGTGTGCCCCTGCATCATGGTTGAGAAAAGGCTGCCCTGGACTGTTAAAGCGGACCTTTACCCATATCTTTAAAATAACAACAACACCTTTAGAAATGTTTAGTAATGACAATATACAAACACATATTTCTAGATAAATGCCGGCTTTGTATTCTTTGCATATCTTATTTCTCTTTTCTTCCCCAGTCTTCTGACAGTGGCCATTTTTACCAAGGGCATATTACTAGCTCTCCTATTACTTCCTGAATTTCTGGCACATGTGACTGAGACATGTGACTAGCACATGTGACCATGCACATCATCCCTGAGATCTCCCAGCAATGCTCTGTTGATGACAAGGCAATGCCAGTGTGCATTGCTTTGCCAAATTGAAGTCATTTTGCCTTTTCAAAGCAGGAAGTGAATGCTCTGCAAATGTAAGTATTTCTAAATCACAGCATTTTACACCTGACATGTCTGTTATTATTAATCATCATACATAGGGGAATGCATTAATAGAATTTTATTTTTGAGTGGAAAGGTCTGATTTAACACACATCTCCTTCCTGCTATTACCCCCATGTTGTAACCAGATCAGCTTGATCAAAATAAAGGTATGTAATTCAGGAAAAGCATAAGTCATTTTTTTATTTGGTAGAAAATTGTATTAAAAACCAACAATCACAGCTCAATGCCAATTTATCAAAAACCTTTGACAAAGAATACTTTGTACACATATGATGGTGCATATGTCTTAAGTGGCATTGAGGTGGTTTGGTTAAGTTGCTACTTTTCAATATCATTGTACTAACAATTTTCATGATTGGTGTGCCTTCTCTGTTAGGGATAATTATAGCAAAAAGCCCTAGTGCCCATCTAGTCCTCATTTATTGACCCCCACCATCAAAAAATAAATAGAATTATAGACCCCAGAATCAAACTTACAGCGATCTGATCGTCCACCCCCTGTATGGCTAAAGGAACGGGTACAGAGAGTATCAATAAATGGCGCCCTTTCAGACTGGGCTAGTGTATGCATTTAAGTTTACCTTTTTCACTCCACTTACCCCCTGTGCTGTTCCTCGCTTGTACCATTGCATGCAAAATCTGGAGGCAGGCTAGTGTTCTCTACAGGAGGTGATGGTAAAAAGGAATGACAATAGGGAAAGAAAGTGGAACAGTTGAGGCAAGTGAAGCAGTTGCTGTTGGCAGGTAATGACAGCTTGCCGTAAATCTAAGTCTAAGGTCTGAAATGTCTTCTACCAGGAACCTCTGACCTTCCAACTATGGAGAAACTATAAATTCCATGATGCATCTGTCTCTGGGAGTCATGCCTTAGGCTGTGAGAATCTTGCAGTGCCTCATGGGATTTGTAGTTTCACCACAGCTGGAGGGCCGGAGTTTCCCCACACATGTCTTATACCTTTGTAATAAAATGGCTGAGAAGGGGGGAACTAAGCCCTATGATCTTTTACAACAAGGGGTCTTAATTATTTTTAGCGTGAGAGGGAGCTGAGATGCGAATCTCATGATTTCAGGTTTCAATCCATAGAGGTTCCTCTACAGATGGGCCAGGGTGTATTCGTCCATTACTGAAAGAGTGGTGGCTCATTGTAAAAGCTCTTCTCTCACCTGACTTTGAAATGAGGCTAAGGTGCTGAATATTCAGCATATTACATATTTGGTCAAAGGTTAGTATTATTAAATTAGTAAAAGACTGGACCACTGAAATTAATAATGTCAGGTGGTCTGGTATTAAAGTCTATGACATGCTTAACATAACTCATTGTTTCACTGGTTCTAATGTATCCCCTTTCTTGGGTTGAATCTCACATAGAACACAACTTGTGTGACTTTACCTTATGTGCAAACCACCCAGGAATCTCGTGCAAGTAAATTGTAACCTGAATTAATACATTGTGAAGCCTATTATTCTATGGAGACCAGAGTATTTATAAATATTTACCAAGGTCTCTAATAAGAGACAGGGCTTCCCATGAGATAAAAGCTCCACCACCATCATCCATGGCTCCTTGCCCAACATCCCAGCTGTCCAGATGGCCACTGACAATCACGACCTAAGACATAAAATAAATAAAATGTATAAAAAGAAATATTACAAATCACACATTTTTTACATATTTTTTCACTAGATAAATGTATGAAAAACCCAAGTGTTTTGAAGTCGACATATATTTCACATAAACATGTGGCTATAGTTGATGAATAGCGGTCATCGTTGTTGGAGAATACAGTACACTGTTTGGAGCCGTTTTATGCTAGGATGACATGTTCATTCTGGAATGGCAAAAGATTCAGAGACAGCCGGAAACTCTGTCTCTGGGTAGGTGTAATTTTTACTAAGCCTGTAAAAGCCATTTGGGCAGAACTTTCACCAAGGAGCTTCATGAGATCATAAAATTAGCAGAGATCAAGTTTCACATTTTTCAGAAAAGAAGGAACTATTTTAAGATATTCTATTGAGAGGATAATTAGAATAAATCATTTGATTATAGAAATCTGTTCTTTCTACTGGGAGATGTGAGAAGAGATGGTAGAGATTTTATGTGAGTATACAAATGTGAACTATAGATTGTAAATTCTTAAGAGCAGTGCCCCCCTAACCCTCATTTACTATCTCCCTTTATTTTGTAGAGTGCTGCACAAATTATTGGCACTACATAAATACTGTATAATGATTATAAAAATATCAGTCATTTCATATTAGGAAATGAGATTCATTATTGTTTGGAATCTGTTAAAGAACCAGATAATATTTTCAAATATGAATGTAAATATTCTGCAAAGAAAAATAGTATTTTTTGCATCTGTTTGGTGTTGCATATGTGTGGAATGATTTCTAGAAATGAAAGGGCCTCTAATGCGATCACAAGTTGGTTCATGTAAACAAGATAATGGAATGAAAAATGTGACCATGAAAGGCCAACTGCAGCCAAAGCTGTTTTTTGTGTGTTTTGGGGGCAACAGGGAAAATTAGAGATTCTGTCAAGTTTTGTTGCTGTGCCCCTGACCATTATTATTATTACATAGTATTTATATAGCGCCAACAGTTTGCGCAGCGCTTTACAATGTAAGGAAGACATTACAATTACAATACAATTCAAGACAAGATGGTAAGGAGGGCCCTGCCCCTGAGGGCTTACAATCTAAAAGATTGTATTGTAAAAGACCATGTTCCTGGGCTCCTTCTAGTGGCAGTAATACTATGAGAATAGAATACAATATGATCTGCGCCAATGCAATATAGTGAAAGCTACCAGGCACTAATAAGTAATTATCAAACAAATACAAATATTAAATGTGCCGAGCTGTTGAGCAGCTCGGCACATTTAATATTTAAATATGTTAAATACTATGACAGCATCATTTTGCCTGCTTTAAGCTGAGCGGAAGATTTATATATTAGTGTGTTAATAAAATGTGATTTACTTAAAAAACTGCACTAAAGCAAACAAATATGCAAACTAAGCCTAAACATAGGAGTGCACACAGGGTATGCTGGGTCTGCCTTGGCACACCCTTACCACCCATGCGTAACACTACAACCGCAATAGTGGGCACCATGTTTTTAGTCACGGAGCCGGTGGATAAATCACAAGGATATCTGTGACTAGTCCATAATACAGAGTGCAGCAGCACTTGCCGCTTACATGCCTCACATAACAGCAGTAGTCCTTGGTGTCTGGGAAGCAGAGAGCAAGCATAGCTGCAGTTTCCCAGGCTTCCCAACCAATCAGAAAGCTGGGTGGGTTGTCACATAGCCACATGCCAGGCTCCCTGCTTCATTACTGCACCCCTGCTGGAAGAGGTAAGGGACAGTTGAAGAGATGGGAATCTGGGATGCCTCAGGTCTGTGTATGATATGTATGTGTGTGTATATATACAGTATCTCACAGGAGTACATTCCTCACATTTTTGTAAATATTTTATTATATCATTTCATGTGTCGACACTGAAGAAATGGCACTTTGCTACAATGTAAAGTAGTGAGTGTACAGCTTGTACATCAGTGTACATTTGCTGTCCCCTAAAAATAATTCAACACACAGCCATTAATGTTTCTACCGCTGGCAACAAAAGTGAGTACACCCCTTAGTGAAAATGTCCAAATTGGGCCCAATTAGCCATTTTCCCTCCCCGGTGTCATGTGACTGGTTAGTGTTACAAGGTCTCAGGTGTGAATGTGGAGCAGGTGTGTTTAATTTGGTGTTATCACTCTCACTCTCTCATACTGGTCACTGGAAGTTCAACATGGTACCTCATGGCAAAGAACTCTGTTATGCAAGGTTGCTATTGGACTGTTGGACTGATCACTTGCCGCGTCTGAGGAGGGCCTAGGTGGACTAGTGGAGCACAAAGACAGAGTTCAGAGTAGATCGCAAAATGTCTGGAGCTTCAGAGGCTTGGAAAGCAAACATGTGTTGTAAAACGAAAAGTGATGCTGAAAGTTCTGCGAATGACTGTCCAAGAAAGTGAAGGTGGTCATTTGAAAAGTTCAAGCACAGTGATTGCACTGTATCTGGGTAGGCATGGTGAAGTTTAAAATATATCAAAAGATCTGTGGACCTTTATTGATGCTTAATTTGCACATTTATGGACTTTAGTGTAGTTTTATAAATACTTGACATAGACAGTTAAGCATTCAATCACTTATAACATTTGGTATTTTGTCTAACATGATATCACAGTCAGTGACATAAGCAGGGATCCCAAAGAGTAACATGCCCAGGGTCCCTTGCATGTAGCAGGAGTTAAAAAAAAAAAACAGGTAACACTTTTGTGTAATTCTTCATCCATTACCAGTAATAATAACACAACTGAGATCCTCCATCTAAACATAGCTAGAATGCAGTCATTGAACAGCAGTGTTAAGTGGAGTCAATGTAATTGGGAGTCAGGCAAGTGGGAATACATTGACTCTATCTTCAGACCCATCATCCGTTTTTATGGTTTGGCCTTTATTAATCAAAGACAGCCGAGTCATTTTACCCAGCTGAATCCAGCTGGTCTACCCTCTTACATCACACAAGTCATGAACACTGGCTGGCTTGTCTCAGGCTAAACATTTGCATTAACTTGTGAAAGTTTCATAACTGAAGTTCTGCTCGCAGACTGTGTCGCCTCATTCTATCAATTTGGCAATCATTTATTCTGGCTTGGTTCCATCCACGAACCACCCCTGTCCCTTGACAGCTGAATCAAGGCCCTGTTCTTGCTGCCACTGTGTGCAAAAGGCTTGTTTTGATACTGTATGTTTCCTGTGTAATGGTCTCTGTTTACGTGACAAGGCTAATATTGGTTTTACCTTGATGCTCTCTGACTACTACAAACACGAACACTGGCATGTGGATTGCCAACTTGATATGCATTCAACTTTTCATGATGATAAATTAAACTTATAGCAAATACAGCATGTTAGACTGACCACTGGTGCCATAATGGCAGTGTTTAGTGGCTGAATCCCACAGCATTAACTGATATTTTCATTTCATTTGCAGGTTGGATGCTTTCGGATTGGGAATTCACTGCAAAGTACTACTGATGCTTTGTGAGAGGTGATATTCAAGTGCAAGCTGATTTTCATACAACTGTAGTTCGCAGGTTTCTCTAATCAACAATGTAAGTCACTAGTAGTATTAAACTCTCAAAAATATTTTCAATAATAGTAACATACTCTAGTAGGTAAGGTTGAAAAGGACACAGATCCAGCTAGTTCAAACTACAGTTGGGCAAAAAAGTATTTAGTCAGCCACCAATTGTGCAAGTTCTCCCACTTAAAAAGATGAGAGAGGCCTGTAATTGGCATCATAGGTAGACCTCAACTATGAGAGACAAAATGAGAAAACAAATCCAGACAAATCACATTGGCTGATTTGGAACAAATTTATTTGCAAATTATGGTGGAAAATAAGTATTTGGTCAATATCAAAAGGTCATCTCAATACTTTGTTATATATCCTTTGTTGGCAATGACAGAGGTCAAACGTGTCCTGTACGTCTTCACAAGGTTGGCACACACTGTTGCTGGTATGTTGGCCCATTCCTCCATGCAGATCTCCTCTAGAGCAGTGATGTTTTGGGGCTGTCGCTGGGCAACACGGACTTTCAACTCCCTCCAAAGGTTTTCTATGGGGTTGAGATCTGGAGACTGGCTAGGCCACTCCAGGACCTTGAAATGCTTCTTACAAAGCCACTCCTTCGTTGCACGGGCGGTATGTTTGGGATCATTGTCATGTTGAAAGACCCAGCCACGTTTCATCTTCAATGCCCTTGCTGATGGAAGGAGGATTGCACTCAAAATCTCACGATACATGGCCCCATTCATTCTGTCCTGTACACGGATCAGTCGTCCTGGTCCCTTTGCAGAGAAACAGCCCCAAAGCATGATGTTGCCACCCCCATGCTTCACAGTAGGTATGGTGTTCTTTGGATGCAACTCAGCATTCTCTCTCCTCCAAACACGACGAGTTGTGTTTCTACCAAATAGTTCTATTTTGGTTTCATCTGACCATATGACATTCTCCCAATCCTCTTCTGGATCATCCAAATGCTCTGTAGCAAACTTCAGACGGGCCCGGTCATGTACTGGCTTAAGCAGGGGGACACGTCTGGCACTGCAGGATCTGAGTCCCTACACCCTACGCTCACCCACCCTGCACATTCATGAGGGTGTCCGTACTGGTACGCTGGCAAGATGGATCCTGTCTGCTTCTGAGCCTGGACATCCGCACCTGTACGGACCTGCACTTGGGGTGAGCATAGGGCTGCGTGCGGCTTCGTAGTCCCACAGAGAAGGACAGGGGCTGCGTACTAATTACACGCAGCACCTGTCCTTCCCGGGAGCTGCCCGATACGGCCGTGCACGCAGCACGTTTCTAGTGTGAATGAGGCCTTAGGGAGTATCTCACCAAAAATGAAATTCCAATTGCAAGGGAAGCCAAAAATTGTACTTGTAGCTTAGTGCAGACCTCTGGGAAAGTCAGCCTGCCAATCACAGAAGCAGGAAGTGACATTTCTGTGGGTGTTCCATACACCTAGTGTATACAGAAGTCCCCCA